ATCCTAGCTATGCAGGAGGCTGAGATCTAAGGATCGCAGTTCAAAGCCAGCCCACCAGGAAAGCCTGAGACTATCTCCAATAAACCACCAGAAAATCAGAAGTGGAGCTGTGGCTCAAGTGGTAGAGAGCGAGCCTTGAGTTGAAGAGCTGAGGGACAGCGCCCAGGCCCAGCGTTCAAGCCCCAGGACTGACACCGCCCCCAAAAAAACAAAATGGAAGTATGTAGTTTGGATAAAAGCCTTAAGAATATAAGGGATATGGTAAGTGCTTAACTTTTTCACTTTCCATTATAAGGTAAATACTATGGTTGTACAGGAAGTGGGTATGCCTTCATTTTTTTATCTATAAAGATATATGATAACACAAACTGGGAATGTCATGTATTGTACAGAGGGGTTACAGTTACATGAACAAGGCAATGAGTACATTTCCTGTCATGCATCATTTCCCCCTCCTTTGCTCTCCCACCAACCCCTCCTCCACGGCATTGCTTTTCTGGGTTAAATCATGTAATGTTCATCTCTTTATATTGTTGGATTCAGTGTTCTAATAGTATTTTAAAACATTGTAGTATAGCATTAAACTCTTGTTCTGTAGTAAAGCTTTTCAGTTTTCTCCCTGCTCAAATATTCAAAACCAATTACATATCCATGAGAACCAAAAAGCCTCTCATGTTCTGGCACAGCCTTTCCCTTTATACCTACCATGCATTCTCCCTGCTACCCGGTGCCCTCCCTCTGTAGCTTCTAGTGCACTTCTCCATTTGAATATGACTACATAAGAGAAATTACTGTTAGCTTTTTCTAGTGTCTAGTGGTAATTCCTTGCTAATCAATGGTGTAAATGAAAGGCTATTGGAAACACTGCTAAAATAAAATGGACCAAACATAGTTAATAGTCAGTTTGAAAGTTGTGTGCGTCTCAAAGAAAAGCCATCTGCTTAAATTCAACTACTTATACTTGACTAACTGGCTATACAATTCACTATAAGTCACATCAGTAGAACCCACTTTTTGATGGCTCTAGCTTTGGTCTGCACACTATGGATTTTACCTCTTGTTCCCATTTTTCCCATGGGTAGGTACTCATCTCGTAGTCTTGACTGGTAAATTGAATGTGTCCCAAAACAATGTCATCCTCCATCAAGACAGTGTAAACAGAACACCTTAACCAATCAGCACCCCCCCATCACATGTGTTTTCTTTTATGCATTTGGATTTTTACTCTTTAATGTCTTAGCGTGGTCTTATGTTTGGATTTCCCACTTTCTGTTATTGAATAACAGGATTAGCAAGATACATTGGCAATATATGTAATATATGTAAGTCCTGGGATTCCGAGGTAGTAGCTTCCATGAGTTCATGACTTGCCTCGGCAATATAGCAAAAACCTCATCTCAAAAACAACGCAGGGTACTGCAATCTATAAAACACAATTGCTAAGTTGCTTTCTACCTTAATTTTTACCACTGGTGTCTTCATAAATGTTGGCAATTTTGTGTTTGTGTGTTTGTAATTTGCACTAGTTACTGCTTACACAATGACATTTTATCTAAAAATAATCCAATTTTTGTCTTATTATTACTAAGGTTTTGTACAGAGGGGTTATCATTTCATCAGTCATGTAATGAGTATTTTCTTCTGACAGTCACGTTTCATTTTCCACCGGTTTTCCCCTTTCATCTCTGCCTATAAGTTACATTGTCCATTTTCCACATAGTGTATTCTGACTACTATGGTATTTGTTCACTATTCCTCTCCCTTTCTGCAGCTCCCTTTGCCCTCCCTAAAAACAAAAACCCAAAGCAAAACCAAACACCAGTAAGAAAAATATTTTGTCTGATAGTGTCCTTTAAATATCAATTAGTTTCTGCTATTTTCATGATATCTTTCCATCCTAAAATACCCCAAGATTACTTACCCTCACGACCCACCAATGATAACAGTATCAGTCAGTTCTCAAGTCCTTTATATAAAGTGGCATCGTATTTGTGTATAACCTGTGCACATCTTCCCACACATGAAGTCATCCCCAGAGCACTTGTAATCTAATGCAATGCACACATTTTCTGTGGATCTAGTATAATCTGCACATGGCAAATCCAATTGTGCTTTTTTGAACTTTATTTTTTTGTTGGTCGTGGGGCTTGAACTGTTTAGAATTAGTTTAAAAATGAGGTCTGAGCACAGTTCAAAGCAAGGGCAAGGGAAGTCCATGAGCCCTTCATCTCCAGTTAACCCTGAGAAAACCGGGAGTGGAGATGTGCCTCAAAGTCGTAGAGAACTAGTGGTAAGCAAAAAGGCTCGGAGACACCATGGAGGTTCAGAGTTCAAGCTCGAAGACTCTATCCCCTAAAAAACTTTGTGGCATGCTTGGTTGAGTCCATAGATGGGTAATGAACACACTGATAGAAAACCAACTCTTCCTTACTCATATCTTATTTTCAACTTGTACTTCTTTTGTGATACTATAGAGATCTTCAAACCCAGGCTACTGCACGGGCATCTTGAATGCAGTGACTTCTGTGGAGATCAAAGAATTGCATTTCTTTGTTTTTTTTTTTTTTGGGTACAGTTGTGGGGCCTTAACTCTGGGCCTGGGCGCTGTCCCTCAGCTCTTGAGCTCAAGGCTAGTGCTCTACCACTTGAGCCACAGCGCCACTTCCGGCTTTTTTCTTTTTGCTTATATGGTGCTGAGGAATCGAACCCAGGGCCTCGAGCATGCAAGGCAAGCGCTCTACCACTGAGCCACCTTCCCAGCCCAAGAATTGCATTTCTTTCATTACACTTAATGGGTGCAGTTGGATTTACATCTATTTTATTCTATTTCTTGTTAGCTTACATTAGTTCCACAAGTTTCATTGTGACACTACCATATATGCACATGTGCATTGAGTGTCTCCCATCCAAACTCCCTTCTGTCCTCTCTAGCCTTCCTCGTTTATCTTCATTCACTCTGCATTTACTCACCTCTTCTCACTAGTATGAACTGCAACAAGGTGTCTGGCCAGTGGCTCCATGCTCTGTCTGTCATGTGTGTATTAATCTTCATCTGCACCATGTGTGTGAACTGTCCCAAAGTGGGTGGAACCAGGGCCCTAGACATCCCTCCCCAGGTCAGGTCCTCAGGCAGGACAGTATGGGACAGTTCTGCATTCTAGCCTCAGTAGCCCTTGAGCACTCATTGAGACATTTCTTTTGGTACAGCCTCAAGCAAATATGAAGCCATTGCTATTTTTATTTTCCCTCACCCTGAACTATTTCCACTATGAAGAGCACTCTCCTGATTAAATAGGGGCCCATCTGTGGCCAGATGCACAGGCCTCCAGTGGGGTTCTAGTTAATGCCAAAGGCAGTAAGGTGGAACCTGCAGTGCAGGTTGAGCACCATCTTGTAGGAAACAACTGGATGTCTTCAGTGCAAGACCCCACCCAGGCATGAAAAGAATTTCCCAACATCAGGCCTTGTAGTGCGGCCTCTGGAGGAGCTGTGACCATTTCCAGTTCCTTTTCCCCAAGAAGTCCTCGCCCAGTAGCACTGCAGGTCAGAGCAATACTTTCCTAGTTCCTAAAAGGTCTGCAGTTCCAGCGGGAGGCCGGTCCTTGGAGCTCTAAGCCTGGATGGCACTGTTGTGGTTCATCTGACAGCCCCTAGCATAGATTATCAGACACATCAAATCGCTGCCCTCCTGGGCTTCCATTCTAGCTGGGGGTCAGCCAGTTCCACTGGACTTCATAGGAGGCTGCATCCAGGATATAAGATGTGGCTGCTAGGCAGACATCACCTTCCTCTGTTCTGATGAAACCACCTACCTGAAAAGGTGAGCGAACTCTAGCTTGAGGGAGAGGTCGGACAGACCTCAGTCCCATCTAAAACCCTTACTGGGGGGATAAGGTCTGGCAGGATTGTGGATGAGGTTAAAGGTTGAAAATCAGAGCAGCTGTAGAAGAACCCATACCACCCAGCCCTACGTGCCCACCTATGCATCGACCCAGTGGCCCAAATCAAGAGTTGTAAGCTACTTCTCACACTGGTGTCTTGAGGTATAGGGTGTCATAGGAGCTTGTAGTCTGGCTAGGGGACAGCCTGTCAATTCAGGTTCCAAGTGCCTGCCAAATAGACTAGCCAGTACAGCAGGTGCTCCCTCCCCAGGGCTGGACACCATGGGTGGGGAGAGACTGTCACAATGCTGGTGTTCCCTCTGCCATTGTTGTGCTTGGCTCTGCTACAAGATAGCTAGTGTGCTAGGCAGGGCACAGGAGCCCAGGCTGCTCGTGGTGCTGTGCAGAAGGCTTCCTTCTGTACTGATGCTCCATCCCAGGCGCCTGGCTGAGTGTCTTGGCCACTTAAGTCCTGGTGCCTCTAGATGTGGGTGGACAACACCCAGCTTAACAAGCCAGCTTCTGTCATGCAGTGCCCAGTTACTTGTGGCCCAGGCAGAGCCTGGAGCCCCTGAGGCACACACTGTGAAGTCCTTGGCTTTTGGTAGGCCAGATGAACACTTACCTAATCTCAGTGGCGAGCCAGCCAAACCTCCCGAGATGGAGGGCCAGGATCAGCAGCCCAGGAGAGTGGTGCTGCCGGCTCAGCAGAGGCCTCTCCAGCCACAAGAGGGCAGGGAGTAGTCTCTTCTTTTGGTTTGGATAGTGGTGCTGTCCCTGAACTCTTCAGCTTAAGGGGAGCACTGTACCATTTAAGCCACTTCTGGTTTTCTAGTGGTTTGTTGGAGATAAGAGTCTTATGGATTTCCTTGCCTGGCTGGCTTTGAACCGAGATCCTCAGATCTCAGCCTCCTGAGTAGCTGGATTACAGGCATGAGCCACCAGTACCCAGCTATAACCTGTATTTTTTTTGGGTCGGTCATGGGGCTTGAACTCTGGGCCTGGGCACTGTCCCTCAGCTCTTCAGCTCAAGGCCAGTGCTCTAACTCTTGAGCCATAATGCCATTTCCGGTTTTCTGGTGGTTTATTAGAGATCAGAGTCTCATGGACTTTCCTGCCCGGGCTGGCTTTGATCCTGTTTCTCAGATCTCAGCCTCCTGAGTAGCTAGGATGACAGGCGTGAGCCGCTGGCGCCCTGCTACAGCCTGTAATTCGTGAAGGAGTCAGAGGCAGAAGTCCGCTGCGCACTGGCATCCCTAGTGCAGTAACTTCCCACAGGCACTACAGGGCTGCAGTACTGGACATGGCGTCTTTCAGCTGTGCAAGCAGCTCTTCTGGCCGCAGGGAGAATGTGCTGGTGTCTACTCTCTGGAAGTCAGGGTGTGTGATCAGAGAGGTCAGCACTTCCACAAGGCGGCTAACATCAAATGCAGCCTGCTGGTGGCCTAGCCCTGGGCCCGGGCTGTCCTTGAAAACCTCCTCTGGCCCCTGCCCTAGGACAAGGAGCCTCTTTTCAGCAATGATCTTCAGAAAGTGGTAAAACTCTTCAAAGTTGATCCCGGAGCAGGATTTCATAATGACCTGGGCAGAGCAGAAAGGCCAGTGAGCTCTGTGGGCTAGAGCCATGGATGTGGCCTCAGTTTACAACGGATCCCAATACTGTGCTTACAGACCAGGGCAGGAACCCATGAGACAGAGGTACTGAGGACAGCCTGGCCACCGGTGCTCTGCAGGCTCTGAGTTCACAGCAGGCCCTGGGTGTCTGCCCTGGCGCTAGGCTCAGACAGCATGCATGATTGCTGCCCTCTGCTCTGCCTGTCTTGGCCACCCACCTACCTGACAGTGGTGGTGCCAGTCGGGCATGGAGTCCTTCCACTCGCTTATCTCCCTCTGTACAGCCTGGAGCTCCTGCTGTAGGAAGTGCCACATGTTGGCCAGGTTGTATCCATTGACCCAGTTGTGGTTGATAGAGATGGTGTCATCCTGGAGGGCAGGGCACAGGCTAGCTACCAAGTCCGCAGCAGGTACCATGGGCGCGCAAGCCTATCTCCCTATCCCTTGACCTTGAGTGTCAGGCCTAGGTGCTAGCAGAGCAACCCTGGAACATGCCAGGTGCTCAGCCCAGAGACTGGACCCACAGTGCCAACCCAAAAGGGACCCGGGCTGGTGGGTGGGAAAAGGGCTCAGATTGAATAGGCACAGGGCAGGAATAAGGCAGGGAGTAAAGCGAGGGACTGGGAACTCCACAGCTTCATCTGGTCTGTTGCTTATCCAACCCTGAGGGTCAGGAGCTAACCCCTTTCTTAGAGGACACAGACAGGAGCTGTGTGAAGGGAAGGGTCCACTAAGGGCAGGACCTGGTGTGCCCACCTTACCAGGTTGTACACTTGGTGGTGCCACCCACTGGGTACAAACACCATCTCTCCAGCCTCCTGCAGGACTTCCAGGGGCGGGCTGCTGTGCTGGAACCGGGGGTACAGGCGGGCATCCAGGAGCACAGGGGCGGTCACGTCATAGGGCAGGCTGCCATGGCAGTCACGCAGGGCCTCTTCCTGCCCAGGTGGGAATAACAACCACTTCTTCCTCCCACAGATGTTGACTGACCAGCTGTAGGAGCGGAATATGTCCGCGTGGAAGGGCGACCTGCAGCAAGGCCTCCTGGTTTATGCCTTGTGGGGTTCAGAGTGGGCCCTGGTTCTCCTGAGGGGCCCTCGAGCTGGCTCCCCAGAGGTCTCTATGCACAAAGGGCAGTCACAGCCCTCACCCTTCCCCTTACCAGATACCTGTGGACCCTGTCTGACATTACCAGCTGCCCTTGGGCCCTGCGTAGACAAATCGGTAGTCATCTACATCCAGAGCATCCCAGAACTCATTCAGCCAGTCAGATGAGAAGTACACGGGAAGAGTGAACACATCCTCCAAGTCCTCCACTGTAGACTCCCTGTGGAGAGCACAGGTACAGAGGAGGCTACCGGAGGAGCCCACACTGCACCCCACCCATACCACATGGGGTTAAGACCAACCTGGCAGGTGAAACCCTTCACATGCTCAGCCCAGGATGGTAAGCATGGCAGTGGCTTTGGGGTGGACTGTGCCCTGGCATTACCACACACAGTGGCCATTCTCCCACAATCCCAGGATTTTGGCTTCTGGCTACATTGGGAACTCTGAGCACTTGGTGTTCCTCCTTCATTTCTTTCTTTTTTCTTTTTGATGGTTGTAGGGCTTGAACTCGGCCTGGGCGCTCTCCCTGAACTTCATTCAGCTCAAGGCAAATGTTCTACCACTTGAGCCACAGCACCACTTCTGGTTTTCTGGTGGTTAATTGGAGATAAGAGTCTCCATGGGCTGGGAAGGTTGGTCAGTGATAGAACACTTGTTTTGCATGCATGAGGCCCTGGGTTCGATTCCTCAGCACCACATAAGCAAAAAGAAAAAACCCGGAAGTGGTGCTGTGGCTCAAGTGGTAGAGCGCTAGCCTTGAAGAGCCGAGGGACAGTGCCCACACCCAGAGTTCAGGCCCCATGACTGGACCCCCCCCTTAAAAAAAAAGTCTCCTGAACTTTCCTGCCCGGGCTGGCTTTGAACTGTGATCCTCAAATCTCAGCCTCCTGAGTAGCTAGGATTATAGACACGAGCCAATGGCCCCTGGCTTTTCCATTTCTTCATAATGGCCAATGAACTACTCAACTTTTGCTATCAGATTCCAGGCTGCAGGCCAAGCATGAAGGTTGCCTGTGAATCCTTTCAATCTCAGCAATGAGACCCCAACCACAGAAACATTTTATACCAGTCCCAGGGAAGACACAGCTCAAACAATACTGCACTGGAGAAGCCACCTAGATTCATGCTCACACGAGTCCTAGTCAGACAAGACAGGGCTGACACCTGGTAGCAACAAACCACTTGTAGATGCCAAAACACCATATGCGTTTCTCTGACAGACACATATGTCTTGGTGCAGTCCACAAACCTATTTGGGGTTTGGGCATTGATTTTCCTGTATCCTTCTGATTGTACGACTCCACGCCTCCCTCTGCCTTTTTTTAAAATTTTTAGGCCAGTCAGAGGAAACACAGACTACATTGCTAGCTCAGGAAAAGGGGAATCTTGAAATCTGAGAGACAGATTTACTGAATGCATTGTGCATTTTGCACCATCACAAAGTAAAAAAAATCCTAAGGCAGAGCCGGGTTCTGGTAGTTCATGCCTGTAATCCTAAATCAGCCAGGTGCTGGTGGCTTGGGCGTGTGATCCCAGCTACTCAGGAGGCTGAGATCTGAGGATCACAGTTCAAAGCCAGCCTGGACAGGAAAGTCAGTGAGACACATCTCCAATAAACCACTAGAAAACCAGAAGTGGTACTGTAGTTCAAGTGGTAGAGGACTTGCCTTGAGCAGAAGAGCTGAGGGATGGCGCCCAGGCCCAGAGTTCAAGCCCCACAACAGAAAAATAAAAAAATAAAAATCACAGTCCAAATGTGTAAGAACCAAGTTACTGATTGTGGCCACCACTGGGCTGCCAGGCTGATGTGCTGACTTCCAATGGAATGCCAATATGGCCACCACTGAAACCAAAGCGCATCAGGGGCTGTAGACAGGGCCACCCACTACCTGCACAGGTGCCAGTCCTTGAGGTAGAGGCAGCCCCGAGGGGAACTGTAGCCCCCCTGGATGTACTCCTTCCAGTAGCTGATGTAGTCTCGGAAGGACATGTGCTCCTTGGGGTTTGAGTTGTATTCCTGGACCCCACAGTTGGCAACAGGTACAATCACGTCTCCTGAAGAAGACAGCACATGCGTGGGTGAGAACAGTCGTGTACCTTGCCTCCCGGGCTCTACCACCCTCCAAGCCAGCGCCTGGCGCATCCAGGTTAGACTGGCCTGGGTGGCCCCTTCCATGTGCTGGTCTGCAGTGCATCCTGGGAAGCCATCCCGGCCCCTTCTGCCAGCGCTCGGACCAGGGTGGAGGGTTCAGGTCCCCTCCACCTTCCTAACTTCTCCCACGCCAGTTCTGGAGGCCGTGGGTACATCCCATGATTGGAGAGGGGGCTCTCAATTCTCCATGCCTGCCCCGCCGCTCTGGGCCCCCGGTTCCCCCGGCCGGCCCGGTCCCCGCGCTGCCCCCGCCGTCCCCGCGCGGCCCTGGACCCCCGCGCTGCCCCCGCCGTCCCCGCGCTGCCCCCGCCGTCCCCGCGCGGCCCTGGACCCCCGCGCTGCCCCCGCCGTCCCCGCGCTGCCCCCGCCGTCCCCGCGCTGCCCCCGCGCTGCCCCCGCCGTCCCCGGTCCCCGCGCTGCCCCCGCCGTCCCCGCGCTGCCCCCGCGCTGCCCCTGCCGTCCCCGGTCCCCGCGCTGCCCCCGCCGTCCCCGCGCTGCCCCCGCCGTCCCCGCGCTGCCCCCGCGCTGCCCCTGCCGTCCCCGGTCCCCGCGCTGCCCCCGCCGTCCCCGCGCTGCCCCCGCCGTCCCCGCGCGGCCCTGGACCCCCGCGCTGCCCCCGCCGTCCCCGCGCTGCCCCCGCCGTCCCCGCGCGGCCCTGGACCCCCGCGCTGCCCCCGCCGTCCCCGCGCTGCCCCCGCGCTGCCCCCGCCGTCCCCGGTCCCCGAGCGGCCCCGCGTCGCGCCCCTCCTCACCGAACTTGTCCAGCAGGTACTGGAAGTCGGGCATCCCCGCCGGCGTCACCCACCGCCGCCGGCTGCCCCAGCCCTCGGTGAAGGCGCTGGAGAAGACGCAGGGCAGGTTGGGCAGCAGGAAGCCCCTCACGAAGTCGGCGTAGGAGAAGGCGGCGGGCGCCGCGATGAAGGCCGCGCGGGCCGGCGCCGCGCCGCCGCCGAGGACGCGGCCCTCGAGGCTCCGGAAGTGCCGCTCGGCCAAGGTGCGCGTCTCCCGGTCCATGGCCGGCGTCGGGGCGCGGCCCGGACCCCGCGGCCCGGTGGGGAGCGGAGGTCGAGGAGTACCCGCCGCGGGGCGGGCGGGGAGAGCCGCGCGGCCGGAACCAGACTCGCAGCGGCGCCGCGTCCCGGCCGGAACTCCAGCAGCGCGCGCCGGCCGGACGCCCGCGCCTACCCACTTCCGCCTCCGGCCAGGCGCGGAGCGCGCGTCTCCCGGCGGGCGGCTGCGGCGGTGGCTGGCGTCCCGCGGTCGGCCGGGCTCCGGGGTGGCGCTCCCCGCGCGCCTCCCGCCTCAGGTGAGCGGCGGCGCCGGCGTGCCGCCGCCCTGCGCGCGGACCCCGGCCCCCCGGCGCGAGTGGACGGACCGCGGGGCCTGGGCCGCGGCGGGGCCGGGGGCGGCGTGGCTGGGAAGGGAGGCTCGCGGGGCCGCAGCCCGGGCGCCGCCCCCGAGCGGCCGGGGTGACCGGCGCGAGCCAGCGGCGCCCGGCGAGCTGAGGTCGTCTTCTTGGTGGATGTGGTCATGGTAAGAAAAGAAATGCCCGGAGAAGTTCAAGCGCAGGCCCGTACCGGGGAAGGCGGAGGCAAGACCTTGTCTCAGAACTACGAGCCACGAAGCAGTCTCAGCCATGGGGCCTTTAAGTCGTCTGCACAGAGCGTATTTTTCCTCTCCTCCTCTCTGCAAGGGTCTCGTGCCCTCCTGCACAGGCACCTTGTGTGTGCGTGTTTATATGCAGGTGTATGTGTATACACACATAGCCTTCGTCCTCTTGGTGTAATCAGCAGTACCTGTGTAGTGAAGCTTCTGTGAAAGGACGTCTGCGGAGTCCAGAGAACGTCCAAGAAGCCCGACAGGTGGAAGTTCCTTGAGGGCAGAGCCTACAAGTAAACATAATTAAACTGTTTCTCTCAGTTTTCCCTCCCTCCCTCCCTCCCTCCCTCCCTCCCTCCCTCCCTCCCTCTCTCCCTCTCTCCCTCTCTCTCTCTCTCTCTCTCTCTCTCCCTCTCTCTCTCTCTCTCTCTCTCCCTCTCTCCCTCTCTCCCCCCCCCCCCCTCTCTCTCTCTCTCATCGTAGGGCCTGAACTCTGGGCCTGGGCGCTGTCTCTCAGCTCAAGGCTAGTGCTCTACCACTTGAGCCACAGCGCCACTTCCGCCTTTTTTTCTTTTTGCTTATGTGGTGCTGAGGAATCGAACCCCGGGCCTCATGCATGCAAGGCAAGCACTCTACCACTGAGCCACCTTCCCAGCCCCTTTTCTTTTTTTCGTCGGTTGTGGGGCCTGAACTTGGCCTGGGCGCTGTCCCTCAGCTCTTCAGCTCAAGGCTAGCGCTCTACTACTTGAGCCACAGTGCTACTTTCAGCTTTTTCTGCTTATATGGTTCTCAGGGCTTCATACATGCTAGGTAAGCACTCTACCAGAGTCACCTTCCCAGTCCTTTCTTTCAGTTTTATAAGCAACTTGAGAAAAATCCAATCCAAGGAAGGGACATGGATGCATTTATATAGGATACTGTATACATACATACATACATATCCTAGAGTTGATTGTAATCTAAAGTGAGAGCCATCTTAGGGACTGAGCCCTTAACCTAAAGGGTCTGACCCTTTTTCCAGGCAGTTCCATAACTAAATTGAACTAGACATACAGCTAGTATTCACTTGGTGCAGCATTTCTTGCTTGCTGATGGGGGTGGGGGGAATCTCATTTTTGGGGTTTACAGAAGTCTATTTTTTATTTATTTATTTTTTTTGGGGGGGGGGGTGGTGGATCTTGAACTCTGGGCCTGGGCGCTGTCCCTCAGCTCTTCAGCTCAAGGCTAGCGCTCTACCACTTGAGCCACAGCGCCACTTCTGGCCTTTTTTGTGTATATGGTGCTAGAGGAATTGAACCCAGGGCCTCATGCATGCGAAGCAAGCACTCTACCACTGAGCCACCTTCCCAGCCCAGAAGTCTCCTATGTTGATTGTGTGAGAACAAATGTAAAAATTTTTTTAGCACAGTATGAAGTTCAGGTAGGCATTTCTCAGGAGGAATTTCTGCACCTCTGTGACAGACATCTAGTTCCGGGAGAAAAAAAGAGGTCAAGATCAGCAGATTCCCTTGGTTCCCGAGATCTTTGGAAACAACTGAGCCTTGACTCCATAGCTGGGACCCTGAGTTCTCTGGTGAGATGTTTGGTGTTGTGTTTCCTCTTGTCCACACGGTGGCCCTCTGGTGTTACTTTGTGCCCCTAGGTCCTGGAGAGAGGTCTGCAGCACAGGTGTATATCCCTAGACAGCCCCCACAGTGGCTTGGAACTGGCTAGTGATCCACGTCCTGGGCCCCACCCACACTTATAGAGCCTGAGCCTCCTGGGCAGGACCACCTCAAAAAAAAAACAACAGGAAGGGGAATGAAGTTAGTACATTAGAGGAAATGGGGTGGAAACAGCATCCCTGTGAGTAGGGTGTTAGGATGAACACCCCAGACAACATGACTGAGCCTCCCAGGGTGGGGAAGGGAACTTGTGAGGGAGTGGAAAGAGGGTCTGCTGTGGAGTAGGAGGGCAGGTAATGGAAACAGCCCGCCAGGCCGCCCCCGCGGTGCACACACTACCCCACTGTTCTCCCGCCCAGCCTTGTAATCCGAGGTGGTGGAAGGTGTGCAAAATGTTGCTTGTTCTGTTACTTTGGAAATTAACTAAAAATAGGGTGTTTACTTGCTATTGAGACTCACTCAGGGGCACATGTGTGGTAGAAATGCTGAAAGAGACCCATTATGTCAATCTCAGTGAATTAGGATTCATGGCCATGTGACCATCGACTTAATTCCCCAAGAGCGTCACTTGTGCGCATCAGGCTCAGGCACCCAGGGCTCCCTGCCATGGTCTCCTACAGTCATTCTGCTCCATATGTACAAGGTCAGTGTAGGTCTCTAGATTCATAGCATCTTTGGTTCCAGACAGGTCCCCGATTATAGCAGGCACGCACCAAGTAAGAGTTCCAAGAATGGAGCATCATTGGAGAACCAGGCAGAATGTGACACAATGCAGATATGGACACAGTCTATATTTCCACATGTTACATGGCCAACTCAGCACATATGCTTCTGCTGTGCAGACTGAGTTAACAGCTTTGTAAACAATTGGACAAACTCAAGTGTGATGTTGCATTTGGAAGGATGAAAATACCATTGAAGCAGAGGTCTGAAGTTGGAAGTGCCATTCGGATTCTGGAAAAACAGTGAGCAATATCCTCTGAGGCCCGGCAGAAGCACGGGCACACCCACAGTAATTTCATTCAAAGTTAATTGGGAAGGGTGACTTTTTTTGTAATTGGCTTTTGGTTTTGCTTCTTTGCAATGTTCTGGGGTTGTCTTTTTGTTGATGTGTTTTTTTCATAACCTAGGACCTCCTGTGTGCTAGGCACATACTGTGCCACTGAGATACACTTTCCTATTTTATGTTATGGTCTTGGCAGAGAGTAATAGTTTATAACTCTGTTTTATAACTACTAATTAGTTGGGGGATAAAGAGAGGAGGTATGTGGAAGAGTTGTATAGGTGTTTGTTACCTCTGCCTTAGAGTAGTGGGTATGGAGGTAGAAGTCAGTTGAGAGCTGCCAGGACTGGTTGATGGGTAGTTTACAGGTCAGGCTGAGGAAGGGAGGAGGGATGTAGGAAAACTCTTGAGTCTTTGTTGAGAAGAGAGGCTAGTCAAGTGGGAGGTACCCAGCAGGCAACCAGATGAGCAGTTGGTGGTGATACTGATCAAGTTGGACGTGCCTGGTAGATGTGGCATGGTGGAACCCAAAGACCACTGGATGTCTAGTTGGAGCCTCAAGAGTTCCTGGGCTTGTTAGATAAGTTTGGGTGGAATCGGCCTTGTGGTGTCATTGAACGTCATCATGTTATTTTGCCTTGTGGGGAAGGAAGATTTTGTACTAAGCCAAACCCATGGCTAGTTAATCACAAGTGAAAGAATGAGCAAAGGACGATGAAAACATACCCGTGCCAATGCATTACACTGATGCTAGATCAGATGTGGGCATTGGGTGTGACCACCTAGAGAAGAGGTGCCTGGGAGATGGCGAGGTGAGGTAGGTAGCAGTTACTGTCTCTGTGGAGTAAATGGCTGAGAGACAAGGCATGTGAGGGATAGGGGCCTGTGTGTTTATTTTAAGTTGGAGATCCTAGAGCAAGCTTGTGAACTGATAAATGAAAGAGGTTGCCATGCTTCCGCCTGTGGCCACATCCCACTCCCCTGATGCAGAGCCTCTGGGGAAGGCATGACCTTCTAGGGGATCAAGGGTCACATCCCCTTCCCAGGGACTGTGTTGGGGAGAGTCAGCCAGGTGCACAAAACCGGTAAGAAGGACCGGTGGGATCAGAAGCCCGGCAACTTCTGAGGCACGGTGGGAATATTTTTCTCACTTCTGTCCTTCCACTTAACGTCCATTTACTTTGGCTTCCTGGGAAAAGTGCCCTGGAAATCTTTGGTAGCAAAAGTTGTGGCCACGTTTCTCCTTTGCTTCTTTCTCAGTATTTGTCAAACTTGCATAGCTTTCTCATATTTATTGTTTGTAATGTCCTAAGGACTAGGTTTTGATTGGTCCCCTCTTCATTTTTCTGCTTTCTGTTCTTTTCTCTTGAATTTAGCTGATGTTGTTTTGAGGTGAGAGTAAACGAGGTGCATGTGTGAGGTAACTTTTCCCAGGTCTCAAAGTCTGTGGCAGAGCTGTAGGTCTTGCAGCTGGAACCACAGCGTGCTTCCTCTGGGTCTGGGATGCTGGGCACTGATGCTCAGGGGAGTGTGTGCACAGCTTCACTTGGTGACCATGGAATTCCTCCCAATTGTGTATGTTCAGGAGCAGTCCCTTGGGGACATGTAACCATTAAACTCACTCTCTGTGCTGTGTGTGAGACTGTGAAATGTACTGTTTTCTAGAATGTAACTCCTAAGATCCTGATAATCTTGGAAGTGATATGTCTTTTCTTTTGGCAGTACTAGGGCCCCAACTCAGGGCTTCTTATTTGCTAACCATGTGTTCTACTGCATGAGTCATACTCCACCCCTTTTGGTCTGGTTAATTTTGAGATAGGGCCTTGATGATTGCCCATGCCCTCCTGGACACAATCCTCCTATTTACACTTCCTAACCTGGCTAGTGGTACACTACCACTAATAGCTTTTTTCTGTGGAGATGAGGTCTTGCAAACTTTCTTGCTTGGGCTGGCCTGAAACTAAGATCCCCCTGTGTAACTGGGAAGATAGACGTGCACCCACTGGGCCTGTTTATTAGTTCAAATGAGATCTTGTGAATTTTTTTTACCCAGGCCAGCCTCAGATCTTCCTGAGATTTCAACCCTGGGGAGCTAGGATGCCAAGTATGTTTTTGGGATCTGTTCTTTTCTTAGTGTATAACACCAAAGATGCTTTGAATCTCTGCAGTGATGTCTTTTTTTGGGGGGGGGGAGGGGGGGTCTGGTCATAGGGCCTGAACTCTGGGCCTGGGCGCTGTCCCTCAGCTCTTCAGCTCAAGGCTAGCGCTCTACCACTTGAGCCATAGCGCCACTTCCGGCTTTTTTCTTTTTGCTTATGTGGTGCTGGAGAATCGAACCCAGGGCCTCAGGCATGCAAGGCAAGCGCTCTACCACTGAGCCACCTTCCCAGCCCCCCAGTGATATCTTTTGTATCTAGTGAGCTCACTGTTGGCTGGCCACCCCTAGGTAGCTTTGAGGTGGGAGTGATCACTGAGAAGTCTAAGCAGGATCGAACGATTGAGACTTTTAGTCCTACCTCTGACCTCCAGGGAAGGGACCAAGCCTGAGGTTGAGCTGATTATCAGTGAGTAGCCAGTGGCTTCATCAGCCATACCGGTGTAATGAAGCCTCCATAAAAACCACAAAGGAGGGCTGGGAAGTGTCTTGGGAACCCAGACTTATATTTGGTCTGTCAGAAGCACAGAAAGATAGCCTGGGCTTGACATTGACATTAGAATTGGAGGACATTTTGGGGACTGGGTCCTGAACTGGTGGGATCTGCTGTTGTCTTCAGGGAAGTACTGTTGGAATGGACTTGGACTGGAGAACACCTGGTTGATGTCTACTTTAGAACGGATTGCTGACTAGTGGGGGGAGGGGAACTCTGGTATCTGTGGTCAGAAGTGGTTTTGTTGTAAGGTGAATTATCCCAGAAGCCACATTTAGGTAGATGGAATATTGGAGTCTATTACACAGTTAGCAGGCTGCATGCAGCCAGTTGTTACAAAGGCCTGCAGCCCCTAAATACACCTAACACAGTTAGGAAACAGGACAGAGAGGGAAGAAAGAACAAAACAATACCAACAAACCAGTGCAGCTCCAGTGGAGAGCTGAACTGGAATGCCATATGACCAGGGACAAGCCAGGAGGCACGGAGACTCACAGCATGGCGTCCTGTGACACAGGACACTCCCAGTCCCAGGTGCTAGACTGGCAGGTTCAGTAACCTATCAGCCGAGTGCCCACCCCTGTCTCCAGGGATCACCTTCCTGCACTGTACCGTGAAGACCTTACATGGACACACTCAGGTACCAGCAGACCTTTCTATCCAGGGAAGATAGGCCTCGACCTTCCATATGAGTAGCTTAGAGGCTACTCAGAGCCGGGTGGTTCAAGCCATTCGAGCTAATCCATGCAGAATCAGAGCCCTCAGCTCTCCTAAGACTATGACATCTGCACCTCTCTAAGGCCAGGCCCTCCACATTCACCCCAGTGAGCCAGGCATCTGCCCTTGAGAGGACAGCTCACCTTGCCTCCGGGCATTGGGGCCGGGTGGACAGCCCCCATCTCCTGCCTGGGCCCCAGGAAGTCCACAGGAAATTATTTAGGCCCAGCCACCTTACTTCAGTTTATGTTTAGGAGTAGTGTTGGAAAAAGCGAGTGTGTTTGTTTTTTTTCCTACAGGTACCCAGGCATTGAATGAGCTGAATGAGCATGCTCTTCTCTGGCAGGTCTGGTGTGGCTCAGGAGTGGGAGGCCTGTCTTGGCCCCGAGAATGGGGCATGGCTATCTTCAGAGGTTCACTATTGTCCCAGCATGGGGCTCCTTGTCTTCAGTGTATAGACTTTGAAGACCATGGCTGGTGCTGAAGTGTCTCTCCTAATTGTGAGAAGTAGATACCAGTGACTGCCCATGTCCTGTATGTGACTTAGAGTGCTGTTCCCGTGTCCACTAAACTGACTAGCCTGTGCCTGGAAGGCCAGGCTCCTGCCCCGTCCTACAGGATGCCACGGCGCGGCTCACATGGGGGTTTCTAGTAGGGTTCATTGGGGTTTATCCGTGCGGTGAGAGACACCATTACATTGGAAGGGCTTCTCTCATTGGGGACTGCTGCTGTGGGCCTGATGTGTGCTAGGGAGCAGCTTGTGCTCCAGGCTCCCCCAGCAAGCCCTCCTTCAGGGAGACAAGGTCAGCCTTCTGTTCGGGAGATGTCTTCCACAGCTGAGAAAATTTCTCTCCATTTTCCAGTGACATCAGCCCATAAACTTCCTGGCTGTCTCTCACAGAGCTTTCCTGAGGTAAAAGTGTGAGGTGTTTTGTTTGTCTTTAACATGGAGGTTCTCCTTGGTTTGGCCAAGGACAAGTTCTTAGGAGGCCCAGTGGGGCTCCCATTGGCCCGGGTTCCCCTCTGCATCTTCAGGTTATCCCTGAGATCCCTCTAACCTTGACATTCTTGTTCGTTTTAAGTCTCCTGTCCGACTTTATTTTGTGATGACAGGACTCTCATACTGATCATGGCAGATTTCTTCAGGCTATGTCCTGATTTCAGATTTAGTAACTATTCAAGCAGTGGTCTGGTGATTGGCAAGAGTAACTAATGGTGTTGGATTGGTATAGATGCTTATTTCATGGATTTGGACCTGCCCTTGCTATTGTGGCAAAGAGAAAGTTTTTGAAACACTGAAACCCGCAAAGCTGAATTTATTTCACAAGGGAGTGGTCATTTTGGTGGGAATCTACTTTGTTCTCTTAACTCCCAGGTTGCTCCCCTCTCAGCCCATCTTTTCATGTATCTAAAGATGGAATATGCTAGATTGATTCCTGCCTTCTTCCCCCAGGTCAAGCACAGCACCAGATGGGCGCTCCTGTGTCCCGCTGCAGGAAAGTCATTCTGACCTTGGCTTAGCTAAAAGCCCCTCACCCCAGGTAGAGCATTCCACTCTGGGCCTGACCAAGGACACCACCCTTGGCCTCCAAGAGACCGTAGCTCATTTTTTATCCTCTGCCTCCTTGTTCAGACCTTATATGGGCTGGGAATGTGGCTTAGTGGTAGAGTGCTTGCCTAGCATGCATGAAGCCCTGGGTTTGATTCCTCAGTACCACATAAATGGAAAAAACCAGAAGTGACGCTATGGCTCATGTGGTAGAGCACTAGCCTTGAGCAAAAGAAGCTCAGGGACAGTGCCCAGGCCTGAGTTCATGCCCCAGGACTGGCCAAAAAAAAAAAAAAAAAAAGACATATATACCCACCCCAAAATCCAGTCCTTCATACAACCTCCAAACCCATGGGAAGGTCTGTGCCCCTCTCTGGCAAAAAAAATCCTCACCTGTTGACAATCGAGTCCAGTCTGTTCCTTTTCCGTTTTCCATTTTCCTAGCACATTATGCTTTAACTTAGCACTTCAGGTTTGTGTAAATTTAGCATCCTGCTTAGTAAACTTTCTCTTCTTCCTCTGTCCTTCATCCTCTTTGTTTCTGCGCCAACATGCTGTTCTGAGGTTATATGTTTGGATGATGGTAAAAGCTAAGGCCACGTGGCAGCACTCATAACATAGACAGATTCAAGTTACAGTAGTAGACTCCTGATACCCCTAATGGACAGGCCATCATATCACTCTGGTCTCTTCAGCTTGTTTCATATAGTCTTGATAAAGGTTGTTGTCAATAGGACTCCAGGCGGCAGCAGTGAACAGTTTGTAGGATGGATCTCAGCTATATACTCCAGCATCTCAGATGAGCAAATACTGTGAACCATGACAATTGTGAAGAAATCCAGGAGCCAGGACCTTGAATAGGTATGTATCAAACCATGTTCTTGCTAACAGTTGGCTCTCTGGGGTCCTTTTGTTCTCCCCAGTTAGAAATCACAAGTAAGAGAAAAGAAGCTCTTCTGTCCATAGCCCTTGAGTGCTCCAATGCTAGACTGACAGATCCAAATGCTCCAAGAGGTCAGGGCCTGTTCCTCCAAGACTTAGGAGCCAGAGACTTATGGCACTCAGGTTGGAGGCTTGCTCTGGCTTTGAGTGGCACCAGCACTTGAAGTTATTGTAATCCTTGACTAGCAGCCGTAGCAGACAGAACCAGCACAGCCCTCAGGCCTGGCATCCTTGCTCCTACAGCACTATGTTACAGTTATTGGGCCCAAGGTAGGGTCACTTGGCCCTAGGATTTTGGACCCTTGACTCTTTTTGTGTGTGTGTTTGCCAGACCTGGGGCTTAAACTTAAGGCTTGGAAGCTGTCCCTGAGCTTTTTTGTTCAATGCTAGTACCATACTTCTTTTTTTTTTTGGTCGGCTGTGGGGCTTGAACTCTGGGCCTGGGCGCTGTCCTTCAGCTCTTCAGCTCAAGGCGAGCACTCTACCACTTGAGCTACAGCGCCACTTCCGGTTTTCTGGTGGCTTATTGGAGATAGGAGTCTCACGGTCTCTCCTGCCTGGGCTGGCTTTGAACCACGATCCTCAGATCTCAGCCTCCTGAGTAGCTAGGATTACAGGCGTGAGCCACCAGCGCCCGGCTTAGTACCATACTTCTTGAGTCGTCGCTCCACTTCTGGCTTTTTTGGGGGTTAATTGGAGATGAGACTCTCACGGACTTTCCTGCTTGAGCTGGCTTTGAATCATAATTCTCAGTTCTCCTGAGTAGCTAGGAACACAGTCATGAACCACCAGTATCTGACTGGACCCTTGAAACTTAAGGCTTGGCAGCTCCCTAGAACTCTTCAAGTGACCACCACTAGCTTGTTGTCTTCAGCTCTGTTGTTTCTCTACCTTTGTTCCTCACCCCATTCACTTTCTGTAACTCTTCACTGCCCTTTCACCACCACCGCTGCTGCCTTTGCTGCTGCTTGAGCTGTCTCCTCTGGTTACCACTTTAGCCCTCTCTACTAACGATAAACATCAAAAGTAGGCAAGAAAGGCCTTTTAAGGACCCAGTGGTATAACACCAGAGAGCACACAGGAGAGTGTCTCCCAAGTGTTTGGAAGAAAGTGAGTGGTTGAGGTAAAGATGTTTACACCAGTCATAGCACAGTCCTTCATGCAAAGGAAGGATTGTTTGCTCCAACTGCAGACCTTCTACTGGACCATGGGGGGAAGTGTTTTTCTCTCTGGCCTGGGTGAAAATGAGTGCTAGAGTTCACTGAGGCTTCTGATGGCAAAGTCCATTGTAAGCAGTTTGAAACGGTTGGACTTCCGGAATCAGAGTTGTGTTTTGGCAGCAAGCACTTGTATAGCTTGTTCAGGGTGTTGGTTGAAAGTTTAAAGTAGCAGGGTTGTCATGATGACTGGCTGGCTGACAAAGCAGGGTTATTTGGCTGGCAGTTTACTACTCAAGGTAACATCAGGGTCTAAAAACTGTTAGGGAGACAAATCATTGTGCCCCTACATCTTAACTTATTTAAAGGAAAAATAAACATTAAAAGAAGTGCCTAAAGAGGGCCTATTACTGGGAATGATAGAGCTTTAACAGTGCCTAACAAGCCGGGCGCTGGTGGCTCACGCCTGTAATCCTAGCTACTCAGGAGGCTGAGATCTGAGGATCGCGGTTCAAAGCCAGCCCGGGCATGAAAGACCCTGAGACTCCTATCTCCAATAAACCACCAGAAAACCGGAAGTGGCGCTGTAGCTCAAGTGGTAGAGCGCTCGCCTTGAGCTGAAGAGCTGAGGGACAGCGCCCAGGCCCAGAGTTCAAGCCCCACGACTGACCAAAAAAAAAAAAAACAGTGCCTAACAGTTCTTACTTTTAGCTCTATACTCTTGGGAGGACTGGGTATTTTTTCTTTTTTCTTTTTTTCTTTTTGGCCAGTCCTGGGGCTTGAACTCAGGGCCTGGGCACTGTCCCTGAGCTGCTTTTGGTCAAGGCTAGCAGTAGGGAATGTAGTGGGGAAACTGAGTCACAGCCATCCCTGTACCTGGCCAGATGCTGTGGCTGGTGGTTTCACAGACATCGTGAAGCCTAGCCCTAGCGCTCTACCACTTGAGCCACAGCACCACTTCCGGCTTTTTTCTGTGCGTGTGGTGCTGAGGAATGATTTGATGGGTGCTGGCAAGCAAGCACCCTACCACCCAGCCACGTTCCCAGCCCCGCTTGTGGCTCTCTGTATTGTTTTTGTCCTGTTCGCTTGGTATTTCAACTATGATGCAGAGAGGCTCTTTTCTGGTCTGTTTGAGATTCACAGGGCCTCTTATCTTGATGTCCGTAAGCTTTCCCTAGACTTGGGACATTTTCTGCTGTTACTTTACTGAAAAAATTGTCTTTGCCTTACCAAAAATTTAAAAATTTGGTTTCCTGATCTTGTCCTAGAAGTCATAAATATTGAGGTCATAATTTCTGTTTTTCTTATTGCCTAAGTATAATAACTTATTGAATTTGTCTTTAAGCCGTGATATGTTTTTCTCTGGTAGATTCAGTGTTTTAGCGATGCCTTCCCCTGAAATTTTATTCAGTTTTATCATTTGAGTTTTATTGAGACTTTCATTTCCAAGATTCTGTTTTTTTTTCCAGAATCTCTCTCTCTCTGTTAAAACTTCTCATGTACACCTTATATTGTTTTCTTTATTTCACTCAGCTGTTTATCCCCTTTGAAGTGACTGATTATTTTTTAAATTCCTTTTGAGTGTTTTTGTCCAGCATTTCATCTATTTTGTGATTTTGTTGTTGAAGAGTTTCGAAGTTTTAGAATAGTCAGGTTACTTGTTGTTTTTTTAAAATATTCAGTAGTACATCTTTTGTTTCTTGGTTGCATTTGCACGTGTTGGGATAGATATCTCCTCCATTTTGAAAGTACCTTTTTCCACTGAGCTCCCTCCCTGTCAGTTAGTTTTTATCACTGTGACAAATATGGTTTCCAAGGCTTCATTCCACAGTCACTGCCACCATGTTTCTTTGCAGTGGCGAGGCAGACGGGAGACGTGGCAGAGAAAAGCTGTCCTCATGGCAGCCAAGAATCAGAGCATCTGGATGGGAACCCTATCTTGTTGAACAGTTTCCAAGTATATTCTCCCATTCTGTAGGCTGTCACTGTTGTTGGTTATTTTCTTTGCTGTGGGGAAATTCTGACATGTCCTCTGAAGGCTTACTCATGTGCTTTAGACTTGTTTACTAGATGGTGAGCATTAGGGAAGTGACGGATCCCATAGGCTCTGACTTAGTCCCTGAATTTATCTCTTATGATGCATCCACTATGCATACCAAAGTCATGATTAGGAATGTGGCCTGGCTGGAGGAGCTGGGTCATGGGGAGGACACCTTTCAAAGGTATCTATCTTGTCCCTGTTCTCTTCTTGCCACTCTCAGTTGGCTTCTTGCTTCGCTTCGCTACTTCCTCTCGGCCATGATGTTCTGTCTGACCACAGACTCACACTGGTGTAATCTGAATCCTCTGAAGCCCTGAACCAAGGCACTGCAGGTATTTGTCATAGCGAAGAAAATACCTTTATTAATACATATCTGAAAGTTAGTTTCCTTGTCTTGAAGTATTGGCTTTTTTTTTCTTACAGTAATTTCTTAACTTCAAGCCTTACATTTAGGTTCTTGAAATTTTGGCTCTGTTTTTGTTGCTTTTAAAGAGGTTGTCTGTTCTCTACTGTATGTTTTTTGTACTTTTTTTGGGAATTAGTTTGTATATGGAAGCATATTTAGGTTCCATTGTTCTATGTTGGTTTTTATGCCAATAATATGCTGTTTTGATTACTATGTATTATGCTTTGAAGTCAATTACAGCAATTCCTCCATCTGTTTTGTTTTGTTGTGGGCCACTTCGGCTATTCTATTGATCTTTTGTGATTTCATAGGAGTTTTATGTTTTTCTATTTATGTGAAGAATATCATCGTCATTTTGATGAGGTTTGTGTTGAATTCACAGATCACTGTGGATCCTTCAAGTATTTTATCAATATTCTTCTAATCTATGAACACAGCATATTGTTTTTTTGTCCCCCTTCTATATATATGTATATATATATGTGTGTGTATGTATATATATATATATATAATTTATTTTTTTATTTTTATTTTTATTTTTTTTGTCAGTCATGGGGCTTGAACTCTGGGCCTGGGCGCTGTCCCGCAGCTCTTCAGCTCAAGGCAAGTGCTCTACTACCATTTGAGCCACAGCTCCACTTCCAGTTTTTTGGTGGTTCATTGGAGATAGGGGTCTCATGGACTTTTCTGCCCGGGCTGGCTTTGAACCATGATCCTCAGATCCCAGCCTCCTGAGTTGCTAGGATTACAGGTGTGAGCCACCAACACCTGGCTTTTATAATTTCTTTAATCAATGTCCCATCGTCATTATAAAAATACTCTCCTACTATTTTGTCACTTAGGCTTGATGTCTTTTCCAGCAATCTGTTTATTTGTATGCTAATTTTGTATTTCAAAAACGTTGCTGAACTTGTGTATTATTTCTAACTTGTATGCGCCTGTGTCTGTTAGCTGCCCAGCCCTACTGGGCCCAACCACTCAGGGCTTCTCTGCCTGGGGACTGCAGTCTGGATATGCCTCATTTTGATACAGGTTCCATGTCTGTGATTATCTTGAAAACCGTTTCTTCACAGGGTGGCTCAGTGAGAGGCCGTATGCGCTTCTCTTTCATCATATACCTCATGAGCCAGTGCCTATACCAGCATTGCCTCTTTTTTTTTTTTTTGCTGGTCTTGGGGCTTGAACTCAGGGCTTGGGCTCTGTCCCGGAGCCTCTTTGTGTTCAAGGCTAGTGCCGCTTCTGGCTTTTTTTGAGTTGTTTATTGGAGATAAGAGTCTTAGAGGGACTTTTCAAAGCCAGCCCAGGCTGGCTTTGAACCACGATCCTCAGATTTCAGCCTTCTGAGAAGCTAGGATGACAGGTGTGAGCGACCGTCGCCTGGCTCAGCATTGCCTCTTGTGCTTGCTGCCCAGCATATCACCTGTGTATCAGGGGCTTGCAGACCTGTTAGCTGACCCAGGAACATTCCTGTATCCCTGAACTATTTTGTGAAATGCTTATACTTCTTAATGTTTGAGGGACCCTATTAGAAATTTGTTCTCCCAGTGTTAAAAATGAATTAACAGCAAGGTGTCAGTGGCTTACACCTGTAATCCCAACTACTTAAAAGGCTAAGAGCTGAAGATAACAGTTCTAAGCTAGCCCAAGTAGGAAAGTCCATGAGTTGAGAGTAGAGCTGTGGCTCAAGTGGTAGAGCACCAGTGTTAAGTGAAAAAAGCTGAAGGACGTTGCCTAGGCTCTGAGTTCAATACTGACACACATACACAGATATGGTAAATTCACTTCTTCATAAAATTGTGTTCATGTGACAGAGACAGAGTATAACTTTGTATGGGTGAGTGGGAATAGGGGCATCACAGCCATAAGGTCGCGTTTGTGAGGTCTGTGGCTAAGCTATCGGTCTTGCCAAAGAAAGCAGGCCTAGGATTTGGGGCGTGGCATCCAGTGGTTGCTCTCCTCCGGGCATGTCTAGGGAGCACAGCAGGGGTGGAGAGCTTCATATTGGGACTGAGGATCTAGGCACAGGTCTAGGACTTGAGTGGGGGCGTTGTCTTGGATCTGATCTCAACTCTCTACCCTATCCTTGCACCCTTCACTTTCTGACTGGGGGCTTGGTTTCATCCTGAGGCTACCAGGAAGTGCCAAGAGCAGCTTCAAGACTAACCTTCCTCCAGTTTGCTTTCCTACTGTATCTCTAGACATTTTAGCTTTGTCCTATCTGCTAACTGTCTGTCTTCCACAGAAGTAAACACTGTGGTCTCAGCCCAGCCCACTTAGGGACAGATGAGCAGCGATATCTGTGTCCACTCCTGGCCCTGCTCCTACTACTTGGACTTTGAGAAGCGATGGGTCCCTGGGAAACTGTCCCTGACACCACGCTCATTGAAGTTCAGCACAGATGGAACTGGAGAAGCCCTCCTTGGCTTACCCCTCTCCAGCATCACAGAGATCAGAAAGGAAGCATCACACTTTGTTTTCAGTGCTGTCACTATCCTCGAGGAGAGCCACCGGAAGCACTGGTTCAGCTCCCTGCGACCCAGTCGCAATGTTGTCTTCAATGTCATTGAGCACTTCTGGAGGGAGCTGCTGCTGTCCCAGCCTGGTGCTGGTGCTGATGCAAACACCTCCCTCAAGACCAGGGGGCAGGAGCTGACGGCTCTGATGGCAGGCTCCCAGAGGCGTCTAGAAGACACGGCAAAGGTACTGAACCACCAGGGCGAGCAGCTGGACAGTGTCATGAGAGGCCTAGAGAAGATGGAGTCAGACTTAGATGTGGCTGATCGGTGAGTGACCCTGGAGGCCTTCTCGGTCTCATCCCCACCTGGCAGACCTGGTGAAGTGCAGTGCTGTAATTAGCACACATCTGGGCAGGGCTGCGCATGTCCTGTGGATGCCACGTGGGCAACATCTCAGAGAGCCATCCTTGTCATCAACACTGAGTCCCATAAGTTCACAGAATGCTGGGACTCCATTGACATCTGGCTTCTGTTTAGTCATTAGGTTACATCCTCAAGTCTTAGATCACAGAAGCAAAGTCTTGCCTTCTCCTGTAATGATCTATGTTTTGATGTGTTTTTTTGTTGTTGGTGGTGGTAGTGGTGGTCATGGTCATGGTCATGGGGCCTGAACTCTGGGCCTGGGCGCTGTCCCTCAGCTCTTCAGCTCAAGGCTAGCGCTCTACCACTTGAGCCACAGCCCCACTTCTGACTTTTTCTGCCTATGTGGTGCTGAGGAATTGAACCCAGGGCCTCATGCATGCAAGGCAAGCGCTCTACCACTGAGCCACCTTCCCAGCTCTACCACTGAGCCACCTTCCCAACTCTGTTTGTTGGTTTTTTTTTAATGCATTTTCAGCTGTGATTTGAGCTTACAGAGTTTGTCCCTCAGACTGGAAATTTTTCTTGTATTATTTCTTTCCCTGATTAAAAAATATATATTGGTCTTTGTAGAACTTTTTTTTTTTTTTTTGTCAAACTTTACATATTTTCTCTTCATTTTGCCATGGGTCTTTGTTTTTCTTATAGTCTATATTTCTTGAGTTTCTCTTCCTTCCTTTGGTTATATTTTAATTCTCAAGAATTCCTTTTTGTTCTGCAAATGTTTTGAGTTCTGCTGGTTAACCGGTGCCTCTGGGCAGGTGTTCTCACTCTGAGCCCTAGGTTTCCCTCATCAGGGAGGCAACAGCCTGCCTTTCCTGCCTCATTAGTCATTGCTGATAAAGCTTGGTTGTAAAATCATGATATGCTTAACAGAGGTCTTCTAAAACCAATTGATTCAATTGTCTTTAAAGCTAGTTGTGTTTTCTTTGCGTTTTTAGGTTATTGACAGAACTGGAGTCCCCTTCCTGGTGGCCCTTCAGTTCCAAGCTTTGGAAGACACCAGCAGAAGCAAAGCCCAAGGAGGGCACCTCCATAGCGGGTTGTGAGCCTTTTGGAAAGGAAGGGGTTGTGATCAAAATCCCTGCCGTTATTTCCCAAAGAACAGAATCTCACATGAAACCAGGAAGGCTTACCCTCTTGGTTTCTGGCTTGGAAATCCATGATTCCAGCTCTCTGCTTCTGCACAGGTTCGAGAGGGAAGATGTAGATGACATTAAGGTCCACTCACCTTATGAAGTCAGCATACGCCAGCGGTTTATTGGGAAGCCAGATGTGACTTATCGAGTGATATCTGCCAAGATGCCAGAGGTCATTCCCATTTTAGAAGTACAGTTCAGCAAGAAGGTTGAGCTTCTGGAAGACGCCTTAGCGCTTAGAAGCACAGGAGCCACCAATGCTGCAGAGAGGAGTTGCTCTGTCTGGCGTGCAGGTGAGCAGCCAGCTGGGCAGTGTCTAGACCAACTTCTCAGACTAGAGCCACTTTCAGTGTTCCTGTGGTGCTCCCACGCAGCCTGTGTGCTCACACGTGACAGCCATCCTCCCTCTCGACGTGCATGAGTCTCAGACTGCCGAGTTGATGAATAAGTTCATTTCAGGATAGGTCAGTGCTTCAGTTTGGATGTTCAGTGCCCTCCAAAGGCCATGTGTTCAAGGCTTGGTCCCTACAGTGGCACTACGGGGAGGTGAGAAGCCTTGAGCAGGAGGGCCAAGCGAGGTCCGTAGGTCGCCGGAGGCAGGCATGCGAAGGTGATGGTGGGCCCCGCTCCTGCCGCGCTCTCCCTTCCTGGCTAGTGATGAGGTGCACTGTGAGTTAGACATGGTGGCAATGTTCATAATCTCGGAGGTCAGGAAGTGAAAGCACGAGAATTTCACATTTGAGGTCAGCCTGGACTACATTGTGAGACTTTATCTCAAAAAAAAAAAAAAAAAGTGGTGATCAGTTTTGCTCCTCCCTGTGCTCCTATCATGGTAGAAGTTGACTCTTAGCTTACTGTTTTGGAGGTGTAGAATCCGAGGTTATTTAGTTCCCTCTGTTTGGCCTCTGGTGAATGCCTCCTGGCAGGAGGGAGAGGGCGAGATGCCCTGATGGCCACCAAGCCAGAGAGAGTCACTGGCCGCTTGGGTCAGTCGTGGGGCTTGAACTCTGGGCCTGGGTGCTGCCCCTCACCTCTTCAGCTCAAGGTGAGCGCTCTACCACTTGAGCTATAGCACCACTTCTGGTTTTCTGGTGATTTATTGGAGATAGGAGTCTCACGGTCATTCCTGCCCTGGCTGGCTTTGAACCGCAATCCTCAGCTCTCAGCCTCCTGAGTAGCTAGGATTATAGGCGTGAGCCACTGGCGCCCGACCACCACTTCCGCCACTTTGGTCTTGTATATCTGTTTGATCTCTTGAGAATTAACTAGAATCCTATAGAAATGACTTAAATCCCTTCAGCGACTTAATAAGTACCTCTCACTAGGCTCCTCTTATAAGATCTCAGAGCCTCCTGACTTTATTGCACTGGGGACCAAACTGACAATATAAGCCCTAGAGGGTCGCAAACCAGGTGTGAACAATAGCACGACTTCAGTAAGTTTTTCAGAACAGAGGGGAGCTCCAAGTCCACTGTCAGGGTGTCTGTCTTCAGATCTCACTTGACACGACCCTCTCTTTGGTGTGTCTCTCGTCCCTCTCCCTTCCTAGCTTTTCCAGTTCCTTTAACATTAAATTGAGGTCTTTCCAGAGCACAGTGCCTATGTCTGTTTGGGTGTCTGCATCTTTGAGAATTCAGCAGACAGTGGTGAGTTTTCAGGATTCAGGTGTTCCACATGACAGTGACCAGACCAACCCCAGGTTCCAGCATGGGGACGTCTGTGTACTTCTGAGCTGCGCCAGGATCCAGATGAGAAAAGGGGCTTGAGACATGTAACAAATCAGATGCTGTGGCTACGTCTAAGTATGAGAAAGCAAGAAACCACTGTCTCACCCAAGACTGAGGAGAGGCAGAAAGTATGGGACGCTTGTGAAGGAGGACAGGACGTCTGGACATGGTGGTTGTCCCAGTGCAGAGGAGGACTGGGGACATGGTGCAGGTTTATGTGACTTTAAGGAAGAGGCATGTTATGCCTGGGGGAGGGAATTCCAGGAATTTCTAGACTTTATCCCACAGGTAGAATTCAGAAGTTGTGTAGGAACAGGTTTGTTGGATAGAAGACATCTCAAGGCCTGTGTGGTCAGAATTCCACTGCTGTTTAGGCTCAGGCTGACGGTGGTTTACAGTTGATTTCATTTTCTTCAGGGAGGCTTGAGGTGTTTCAAGACCCTAATTCTGTTCAGACCTGCCTCTCCGTTGACGCAGGCCCCTTCATTTCAGGTCCCTAGTTATGGATGTCAGCCTTGGGGGTGTTTCTGTAGTCGGGATTTGACCAGATTACTGGGATCTCTCTCTGGTGAAGGAGCACAGAAAAGCCATCATCGCAAGGACCCTGTGTGAGATGTGTAGAATTCCTGCAGAATGGCATGGGTTTTCATCTGTTATTCTTGGTCTCCTGTGAGGACTCCCTGTTGTGTGTTTGTGCTCAGCAGGAAATACCATTCTCTTTCAAGCTGGTGAGTGTAGCCCACAGCTTGTGGACTTGGGGTCCCAAGATAGAGTTCCCTGACTATCTGCAGGAGGCTGGCGAATACTGAGCCTTGGTGAGAAAGGCAGGCTCTGTTTCTGGAAACTAAGACGTGTTCAGTGACCAGAGCTAGCACCTTGTTCCCACTTTCCCGGGCTGTGGTGTGTTGCCAGCTGGTTTTACTGCTGGAAGTTGGAAACAGGTCCCAGGATGCATTCCCTCCTGGAGATGTACTGTGTACGAATGGCCACAGGGTGGCAGCCAAGCAGCGTTCCAGGCACCGGCCCTCTGAAGGCTTCCCCTGGAACAGGCAAGTGGGAAACGTGGGCCGTAACCCCTCAGAAGCACAATTGCAGATGTTCCTCTGTACTGCATCCTTAGAATCTGGCGTTTAGAACAGTTTCAGATTTGCAGGAAACATCTGAAGACAATGCAGGCCTTTTATCCCCTGTCAGATTGTGGGATATTTGCACATAGCCAGTGAGGATAGGATCCAAGTCTAAACATGAAACTCACCTTTCATGTCCACCTATGCACATAGCCTGAGGGTAATTTTATACAATGTTTTAAAAATTGCCTATGACACAGCTGCACAGCCTGGAATCTTCCGCTTGTGGCATCATGTTTATGCTCAGAGTGTTTCAGGGTGTGGAGCATTTTAGATTCTGGATTATCAGGTTGGGGATGTTCAGTCTTAACCTGTACAGAGTCCTGTATTTTTCCCTTCCCTCCCCCCTCCCCCCCACATCCGCCCTTTGGCTGACACCTGAGGTTAGTATTCTGTGTTGTCCTGGCTTACCGACAGAGCCTGTCTCATACCCTGTCTCCACCTGATCTCCTGGCCCAGACCCTGGGGGCCTGTGATCCTCCAGCCCTGGCTCCCTGACTGACAGTGCTTCACACATTCCCCACAGGGCCCTAGACAACCTGTAGGAGGGCTGGGGGGGCTCATGCGAGGGCCATGGGGTGAGGTGCCCTCTCATATCCATGGCTGAGCACAGACTTCATTTTCTTTTCTTTGTTTGGTCAGTCATGGGGCTTGAACTCTGGGCCTGGGCGCTGTCCCTCAGCTCTTCAGATTAAGGCTAGCGCTCTACCACTTGAGCCACAGCGCCACTTCCGGTTTTCTAGTGGTTAACAAGGAGATAAGAGTCTCACAGACTTTCCTGCCCAAGCTGGCTTTGAACCGATACTCAGATCTCAGCCTCCTAAGTAGCTAGGATTACAGGCGTGAGCCACCGGTGCCCTGCAACAGACACCATTTTCTACAGATGGTTTGTCTGCTGATTTTGTGAACTGCTTGATGCGTCACCTGCTCTCAGAGAGACTGCTTGAGCTGGGTTGAGGACCCTCCAGGCACCTCATGCCTAATCCCTCAGAGCTTCCCAGCACCAGGCAGGCCGGGCCACTGGCACAGTGGATGAGTTGTCTCCGTGCTGGTTCCAAGCCATGTTTTGAATCGCCAGAGTTAGGTTGAAGCGTTGGGAAGTCCTTAAGGGTCTCAAGATGATGTACATACTTCACTCTGCAAGACTGAGTTGAGTTGAGAGGGAGGATCTTGCTGTGTGTGTGGCTAAGCTTGGGGGAGGAGTGGGGGGTGGGGGAGTGACCAAGGGTCCAGCAGTGTGTTATGTGACAGCTTCGAGAACTCCAGGAGAGACCCTGTGGGGAGGCGTGCTGTGTGTGGTGTGTGATGGAGGTCCTGGGTGGCCAGGAGCTGACGCCTAAGCCCTCTAGAGGCCTCTGGGCCAGATTGTGCCATGTACTACCTTTTCTGTGGGAACGCTCTGTGTCTGTAAAGCCACACCTGCTGCTTTCTGCTTCTGTCCAGCCCCTTGTTCTGTCCTTCCCATGTGGGCATATACCGCTTGGTTTTTCTTAGTACTGGGCATCCTCCGAGCCAGGGTGCCCCAGCTAGAGGGAGCCTTGCTCCGAGTACACGTGAGATACCAAGGGGAAGCCAGGGGAGAGGCCTGCCCGGCAGGTGTGGCACCCGCGCGGCACTGTGTGTCTCCTCTGCAGGGCAGGGCCTCCCACTCGGGCCAGAAGGCGTCCTGTGGAGGTCCTCTTCCAGAGCCAGTTTCTGTGTCCCCTCTGCCAGCATGACCTGACCCAGGGTCCTTTCCCTGCCTCTTTATTTCTGGAAGGTGCTGTCTCATTCCCTCAGCAGGAGCTGTTCTTGTTGCTTTGAGTTTGGTAGTGACTGGAGAGAGAGAAACAATCCTCATAGAACCACGGTAATTCTTCTCAGATGTTTTAAGACATAGACTGACGGAGTCAGCAACCAGCCCTGGAGGTGGTGGAGCCCTGCGGCTTAGCTGTGTCCCAGCTGACCCTGCAGGTTGTGGCAGAATCTGACTCCATGTATCTGTGGGTAATTAGTAACATCCGGAAAGAAAAGCCCTACTTCAACTTTCTGCTTTTTGAAGCAAAGTCCCAGTTGTTAAAATTCAGTCAGACAGGGTCTTTGCTACAGCTTCAGGTGTGAAAAGGAAGACCCAGCTGTACTCCATAGATCCCGTGCTCTACCTAGGCATCCCCACAGGAGACGCTGAGAATGCTTCAGGACCGCTGTAGGTATGTGCAGGTGGGCGGGTCATGGACAGCGTGTGGCTAACTACACAGGCCAGGTCAAGAGGTTGCTCCTGTCCCTAAGCAGGTCTACAAGGGACAAAGGGGCCAGGTTAAATATAGTAGTGGGTCCTCTGGGTGTGGTCTGAGGAGATTGCCTCTTGCCTGTTTTGCTGGTTGTGTCCACTGCTGACCAAAGTGCTATTACAGTCAGGAATGGGCGGTCTCATGAGCAGACAGACTAACTGATGAGCTCTGAAGACTGCAGGAGGAGTGGGAGCTTTGTCTCCACCATTAGCATGGGCAGACACAGGTTGTAAAATAAATTTGGCTTCCTGCCACTAGATTGGTTTTTAAGAATGGAATAAGGAGTGGGAGTTGTAGCCAGTTGGTAGAGCACTAGCTAGTGAGTGAAAGTCAGGTACTTGAGTTTGAGTCCTGATATTGGACCTACAAAAAAAGAAAAAATGGAGCGGAATAAGAAGGCAGCCATCCCAAGGATACATCCTAAGTTAATGCTGTGTGTGATTGGGTCCAGATGCTGAGCTGTGTAGGGTGGGGGTCAAGTTGATGAGGCCTCCCTCCCAAGTGGCTCCCACCAGCCTTGGCGCATCTACCCTGCCCGCCCGCCTTGCCCCACCTTTATTCCTATGGGTGGGTGAGGTCACTTCCCTGCTCAGCCTCACACTTGGGAAGTTACCTTGTAAAGATTACTGGGAGAACCTAGCACCATTAGCTCACTCCTCTAATCCTAGCTACTCAGGAGGCTAAGATCTGAGGGTCATGGTTCAAACCAACCTGAGCAGGAAAGTCTGTGAGACTCTTATCCCCAGCTAACCACCAAAAAGCCAGAAGTGGAGCTATGGCTCAAGTGGTAGAGCACTAGCCTTGAGCAAAATAAACTCAGGGACAGCACCCAGGCCGAGTTCAAGCCCAGGCCCAGCACCAATATATATAAGATGGTCAGACTAGAAGTGTGTGTGTGTGTGTGTGTGTGTGTGTGTGTGTGTGTGTGTGTGTGTGTGTGTGTGTGTGTGTGTGTGTGTGTGTGTGTGTGTGTGTAGGCTTGTGACCTTGTGTGTGTGTGTGTGTGTGTGTGTGTGTGTGTGTGTGTGTGTGTGTGTGTGTGTAGGCTTGTGATCTTTCCTAGGGAGGAATGGAGTACCTGGCTGTCATATCGTGAGGGCCCACCTATTTAGTTCCTGGTCTTCAGGTTCCGAGCCTTCCTCCCTACTTTACCCCCCCTCTACCTCTACACACACGTGTGCTTCCTTTTCCTGTTCTTATGTGTTTAGCATTGGCCTTTAAGCTGCTGTATCTCATCTAGCTGTGAGGCAACTGTATAGGATACCTGCTGGCTGCCCGGAGATGCGCGTTATCAACCCAGTGCCCTTTCTCTTTCTTCCTAGTCTAATGTACGCCCTTGGCTGTTGCTCTGTATCTGAGGTGGCCTGTGTCACAGAGGAGAGCAAAGATCAGACTTTAATTGCAGCCCTTATCTGAGCCAGGAAGTGCTGGAGTTGCAGTTGGACTGGCTCTAATTAAAGAACAGGTGGTCCCCTGTGGCAGCCACAGGGCCATGCTGAATGGCCCCCCTTCACCGTTCAGTCAGCTGCTCGGCATTGGGTGTGAGATGTGTGCATACCCGGTGTGCGGGTGATCAGGGAACCTGGTGGCTCGTGTACGTTCCCAAGCCATGGAGCTGCCCGCTGCCCCGAGCCCTGCCTAAGCACAGAGCGGCTCTGACTCACCCCACCTCGGGGCAGCTGTACACACCGCTCTGCTTGGCTCCGTTTGTCGGCCATTTCCTGTGCTCTCTGGAACCACAGTGTTCTGTGGAATAGCTCAGCTGTCCCCACAGTTTCCTGGTGATGTTTCTTATGTACATTTCACCAGGGTTCAACGGTTCTTGTGTTTTTTATTCACCACGTTTAGTTTTTTCTTTAAAAAAAAAAAAAAAAGCTCCCAACCACTCTTGACTAAAAGAGCTTTACTTTGGAGAGATAGTTACAGAACTAGCCACTAGGTGTTTATGGTATTGCAAACTTCAATGATGTGGGGCCAAGGCTAGATGAAGTCCCTAGGGTGGGGTATTCAGATTTGTGGGAGCCAGGGACAGAGACCCATAATGAGCACACGGACACACCCCACCAGACCAAAGTGCTGTGGTGATAAATGTCCCTTTGTGAGGTTCTGAACATTGGTGTGTGGTTTGCGCCTTCCGAAAGATGTCACCGCTGACCTCAACTTTCCGTTCCAGCATCCGGGCTGATGGGCTGTTCCATGCACCACGAGCAACCCACAGGAGACCAGGAGGGCAGACGGCTGCAGCTGCAGAGGAGACAGCCCTTCCTTTCTGACAGGGAAGCCCAGGAGCTGACACAGGTAGCGGATCCTCAGAGCTGCCACGGGCGAGGGCAGTGTTCTCTCTGAAGACAGGCTCTGCTCTCTTGTGGGGGACTCTCTGGAGAGAGCTGCCTGCATCCAGTGGTTTGCTGAGCTCCCTGTAGCTGGAAGAGGACAGGAAGGGCACTGCCCATTCATTCCAAGTCCGTGTTTGTCATGGCATAAGTACGGCACAGCATGCTCGTTTGTTCCTGCACACACAATTGCCTTGGTAGCTCTTCCACCCATAGTGTATGTTTGTACACCTGTGCTCCTGTTGCATATACTGTCCGTGTGTGTGTGCTGTACGTGTGTGGTGTGTACTGCGTCTACTGCTCATGTACTGGTATGTGCACTGCCGGGGGGGGGGGGGGGGCGTGTGTGTGCGCGCGCGCGTGCCCCTACGTACGCACGTGTGCACATGGGCCACGCGTGCATGTGCAGCCAGGGTGCACTGGCACATGCAGTTCCCTCTCATCCTGAGCTTTGGTTTGTAAAGAAGCTCACAACATTTCCCTAGGAAACAAATATTTGGTACACACATTTTTAGTTTGTCTTCCTGTGGTATTGCTGGACAGTGTAATGTGTTTTCTAGTTTCTGAGTAGCACCTCATCATTGTATCATTTCATTTGCAGATACGTCAGTATGTTTCTTTAACAGATAAGAGCTGTTCATAAGCTGGGCATGGAAGTGTACGTCTGTGGTCTCTGCGTCTGTAATTCTAGCACTTGGGAGGCTAGGGCAGGAGAACCATGGCTTAGAGGCCAGCTTGGGTTATATAGTGAGACCCTCTCTCAAAAACACCAAGATCAAAGATAAAAGCTGTTAAACAGTAATCTCGATACCATTCTTGCCTTGAAAAAAGAATAGTAATTCCTCCAAATCATGCAATTTTGAGTCAGCATTTACACTTGCCCAGTTCTGCTATTGAAATGAACACACAGTGGCCTGGCCTGTCCAAGACCTGTGTCCATGCTCAGTACTAGGGGATGTGCAGCAGCTCCATCCCAGACAGTAGATGGACCCTGGTGTCCTATCGGACAAAGTGTGTGAGAGTCTGCCCACTGCCACTGGAAAGTGGTTATGAGCAATCTGTTAAGCCTGCTTTTTAAAAACAAATTCTTGTGTGTAGGGGGTACTGGGGCTTGAACTCAGAGCCTCGTGTACTTGCTTGGTTTTTTTCTCAAGGCTGGCACTCTACCATTTGAGGCACACCTCAACTTGCAGCTTTTTACTGGTTATTGGAGATAAGAGTCTGATTTATCTACCTAAACTGGCTTTGTACTGTGATCCTCAGGTCTCAGCCTCCTAAGTAGTTAGGATTACCGGTATAAGCCGCCACATGTTGATTTACATTTTATGTGTTCACATAGCCATAAACTTCTTTGAGCTCAGCTCTTTCTTTGAATGAAGAAAGGCCTTCATCTTTTGAATGGTATATTTAAAAATGCATCCATGCCCCTTTTTCCTTGTGATCTAGTAGTCATTTTCAAGCATGACACACACACCTTACTTGCCAGCTGTGATGGCACATTCTACAGGTCACAGTGTCCTCAGTGTATTGACTTTCGGGCTCACTGAGTACCATCTTGTTGGGCTGTTCCTGAGCCTTTGTCTAAGAGGCTGCGAGAGCACACCCGGGTCGTAGGGCAGGAGAGGTTTGAGGGTGCCCCGTACCATGGTGTTAGTGGCTGTGCTCTCTAGTTGTCTTTAGACTGAAGAAGGAGCCACGCTCTGGATGAAAAGGTGGGAACGTCGTCTGTTAGGTGAACATACTGTTTCCAGGGCCCTCTTCTGTCTCCAGATAGCCAGTGGCCAGCCTGTGCCATAGGCTGGCCTGAGATGGGGATGTCAGGGTGCACTCACACAGGGCGAGGACAGGACTGTCTGTGGCAGGATCCAGGGTCACAGAGGGTACCGTGTGTCAAGGTCAGCCTGTTGAGCCGCCCAGGCCAGTGGTGTGGACAGTTGTCTGTGATGGGGCTGGCCAGGAGCAGTTGGCGGGACCCGTGGAGAAGGCTGCTGAGCCCTGTCTACTGGTCAGCTTTACACAGAATGTTCCTTGCAAGATTAAAAACACATGTTTCATAGTTAGGAAAGAATTCTTCACTCTACAGTTGAAGCTCAGCATAAGTAGGAATGAGTTAAATTTTCTGGAGAAAACAAAAATGCACGAACTCCTCCTCCATCCAGCTGTGGTTTTGGTTGTAGATGCTGTGGAGGCCATTATGTTGAGACGTGTCCTGATGATTTAAATTGCCGTTGAGGCTGCTGGGGGAGGCAGCCAGGATGGCATGGGGATGGGAGTGGGCTGTGTGGGTGCGTGGTCTGCGGCTGCCGGCGGCCGCGTCACTGTGGCCTAGGGAGGAAGATCCCAGGGGGCCGCGGGGAGCCCATTCCCTGGTGGATTTGGCAGCGCCCCTCTGCTGGCCACCGTGTCTTCTCCTCCCTAGAACTGCGGCTGTGCTCTATCAGATCTGTGGGTGCCACGTTGAGGATTATAAAACAAAAAATGGCAATAGGTTGTGCTCAGCAGGGTATGGGGGGCCCACGTTGTGTTTTTTCCTCTCCATTTCTTTGTTCTGTCCTATTTGGAGGCTCTTCATCCCCACTTCCCCTTGGAATGAGAAGCAGCCAGGGGATACCAAGCAGTTGGGACTGCTGGGTGTTAGCAAGAGGATGCAGCTGGTCCTAGTGACAGGCTATGGCGGAGAAAGGGGACTGCTGTGCCCAGACCCTCGTGTGGTGGTGAGAAGAGTGTGTGGAGGCTCCTCTTGGGACGCACCTGCTGTGCTTGGGGCTCTCGCAAACAGTAAGAACATGGGGTGCTGGTGGCTTATGCCTGCAAACCTAGCTGCGTAGGAGGATGAGATCTGACTGGGCAGAAAAGGCTGTGTGACTCTTATCTCCAATTAACCAGTAAAAAAGCCACACACACACACACACAGAGTGCATAGAAATGAAAAGGACCAAGTTGATTAACTCAGCTCAACAAAACAGTTATTCCAGGGGGACGCTTCGGGTGTGAGGAGTTGTAGTGTGGGGTGGGGGTGTGGTGGCCGCCCAAGGCTCTCAGGCCCTGAGTAGTTGAGAGCCACAAGAGATGCAGGTGCTTCTGTCTTCATGTTTGCATCTGTGAAGTCCGTGTCAGGCTGTGCCAACTCCAGCGCCACCCCATGCCCGTCCTCACAGGTAGATGATCTTAGGGCTGTGGAACTGTTTTAAGAAACGCTTGTCTTTCCTTCGCCTTTCATCTCCCTGGCTGATCTCAGCACTCAGGTTTAAACTTGCTCCGGTCCGTCTGTGTCCTCACTCTGCTAGAAGAGCATCACTTAGCCTCTTCTCTAGCGCCTCATCTGCACCATGGGGCCCCAGCCAACAAGAGCCTGAGATGAGCATGAGGACCGATGAATGCTGGCTGTGCACATACACACACATACACGCGATTGCACACACACGGTCCACCTGCAGAAGCCACAAGCTCGTTTGTCCGTGTGACTGTTGGTGCAAACCTCAAGAGCTCTGCATGGGCAAGCACTGTGGGAGGAGCACATGGCCCCTGTGAACAGGCCTGACAGCCAGACTGCTCACCTGGGGAGTGCCCGCCAGACAAAGGAGTCTGGAGCCATGGGGTACTGTGTGTGTGTGTCACAGCACGTTGCAGGGTTCTGTCGTCTCTGCTTGGCGACCTCCTGCTGCCGGAGCTGGCCACTGGACACTGGCCATCTACTTCCTTATTACACTGCAGCTAAGACAGATTTTGGGGAGCAGGGGGTTTATAGAGCTGTTTTTCCGTGTAACTTTGATTCCAGTGTAGATGTTAGTGATGCGTTGAAACATCTATCTCACTCACAGATTGTCTGATCCAAAAATATAAAATGTCCCAAGATCTAAATCTTTTTGACCAAAGACATGATGCACACTTGATGTCACAACACAGGTGTACTGAGGGTACTGCATAAGATCCTTTTGGGCTATGTATGTGTAAGGTGTATAAAAATCAGAAGTAAACTTTGATATTCATTTAGGTTTCATCATGAGATGAAATATGCATGGAAATAGTCCAAACTCTGAAAGCCTTGCTCTTGTGCTTGTTTTGGATAAGACTTCATTGTGTAGAAATTCTTTATATCTCTGTGTGTGCGCGCGCGTGCGCGTGTGCATGTGTGTGCGTGCACGCTTGCATGCCCACCAGTTCTAAGGTTTGAACTTGGGGCCTGGGTACTGTCTCTAAGCTTCTTTGGTTCAAGGCTAGTGCTTTACTACTTGAGCTACAACTCCACTTCCATAAAAATAATTCTTTTTTTTTTTTTTTTTTTGTCAGCCGTGGGGCTTGAACTCTGGACCTGGGCGCTGTCCCTGCGCTCTTCAGCTCAAGGCCAGCACTCTCCCGCTTGAGCCACAGCACCACTTCCAGTTTTCTAGTGGTTTATTGGCGATAAGAGTCACGGACTTTCCTGCCCGGGCTGGCTTTGAACCGCGATCCTCAGATCCCAGCCTCCTGAGTGGCTAAGATGACAGGTGTGAGCCACCGGCGCCCAGCTTGCTTGAGATGTTTTTGCCATGTGGATATCCACTTGTCCCTGCCCTGCCTGGTGAACCAGCCATTCCTTCCCCAATTAGGTAGCATTGATTCCATGTCAGACGCCCAAGAGCTGTAGAAGTATAACTTTATTTCTGGTTTTTCTCTTTTTTCACTTCTATTTGTCCAACATCGGTGATACTTTATTATTATAGCTCTATAGCAAGCGTTGAGATTGGGAAGGGTGAGTCTTTCCATCTTACTATTCTGTTTCATAGGGATTTAAGTCTTGGCCTTTCCATTTCATTTTTAGAAACTGCAGTTGGAGTTTTGATAGTGACTTCACAGATTCGAGATCTCTCTAGGAGGCCACAGCTGAGCTGCCATGAGGTCTCCCAGCCCAGGCACGTAGGGTGTCCCTTCATTCAACAGTGTTCAGTCATTGTCAGTGTGCACGCTTTTCACCTCCTTGCATAA